GCAGCTGGTTGCCTGGGCAGTCACAGCCGTAAGGGGAAGTGCAGGGGACGGTCCCTACTTCACCATTTGCCACTTTGCTTGGCCATCCGCCCCTGAGCTCAGCTCCCGGGGTCCCCAGCACCTGGGATTCTGAGGATCCCTGGGCAGGGGTGAGGGGTGGTGCTGGCCCCAAAGGACGTGGTGCTCCAGCCCTCTTGGGTCACGCCCCGCAGCCTCCGGGTCCTGCTGTGACCACTTTCCCTCTAAGGTCTTGTGATCTTTCAGGAAATGAGGCCAGTTTGTATGGGGTGAGTGGAGCGAGCCGTGTGGAGGGGGCGGCTCCCCAAGGAAGCCTGGCCTGGGTGGGGCTGCCCACTGCCGGGTGGCTGCAGCGCCCCACCAGGGCCCCGGGTCAATGCTGAAATGGATCAGTAAATGCAGGATGTGGATTAGCGGCTCCCCTGGCATCTGCTCTGTCTTCCCCTAGGCTTCCTGTCCCCGAGGCCGGTCAGCTGCCAGCTGGCGCCCAGAGCTAACAAAGGAGCTGGGTTGCTCACCCGCTGTGCTCCGTGGTCACACAGTGCTTAAAGCCCAGGGTCAAGGGGCTGGGCAGTGAACTCAGGCACTGCGGCAATGCTGGCATCCCACATCGGTGCACGCTTCCACTCCTTGCTGCCGGCTGAGGTCTCCGGGAACAGCAGCCAGGACAGTCCAAGTTCTTGGCCCCGCCACTCCCCGGGGAGACCTGGATGGAGCTCCAGGCCCCTGGCGTGGACCAGCCCTGGCCGTTGTAGCCGTGTGAGACCAGCAGGACCCCCACGTGTGCCTGCTGTCTATCCTCTGTCTTGCCTCAAACTGGCCTTCCCCGTGCACGTGACAAGCCCACCCTGCAAAGCCATCTTTTCTAGATTCCTCTTAGCTTTTCTTTTTCTACTCTAGATCGACCTCAGTATGTGACCCAAAAGGGTCCAAATTTTTTTTAAGGTTTATTTATTTGAAAGGTACATTTCCAAAGAGAGAGATCTTCCATCCACTTTTTTACTGCGCAAATGGCAGCAGTTTGGGCAGGGGTAGGCCGAAGCTAGGAGCCAGGAGCTTCTTCCAGGTCTCCCACGTGCAGGGGCCCGAGCCTCTGGTCTATCCTCCACTGCTTTCCTAGGCCACAAGCAGGGAGCAGCGTGGGAAGTGGAGCAGCCGGGGCTTGAACCAGCACCCACGTGGAACGCTTAGCCTGTGCTCCACAGTGGGGCCCTGGGTTCCCACTTTCAAGCTCACTGCATCCTGGGGCTTCGCTTAACTCAAAATACCCAAATTCTAGTGTGCAAAAGCTGCTGTGAGCTGCAATGTTCTGTTGTTAAAAGCCTTTGCCATTGTGAGGAGACCTGGTCCTCATGCATGCCAGTGCATGCCACGTCCTACTTAGGGTGACCCCCCAAAGCACCCACCAGGCTGGGCTAGGCTGTGGCTGATGCGATTTAGCCAGCCCAGGTCTCCCATGTGGGTAGGTGCCAGACACATCCCCCCATTTACCCCCTCTAAACCACTCCGTCTTAGCTCCCTCTCCTACCTGGGAATGCAGTGGCCCAGCCTGTGGAACACTCTAGAAACCACTCCCCAGGCAATCTGCAGCTCCCTGCCTGGGCTGGATGGTGTATCCCTGTGTCAGGTCTAACATGACAACCTACTGGCTAGATCCTTGCCTTGTGTGTGTGCCAGTTCAAGTCCCGGCTGCTCCACTTCCCATCCAGCTCCCTGCCTGTGGCCTGGGAAAGCAGTCAAGGATGGCCCAAACCCTTGGGACCCTGCACCTGTGTGGGAGACCTGGAAGAGGCTCCTGGTTCCTGGCTTTGTATTGGCACAGCTCGGGCTGTTGCAGCCAGTTGGGGAGTGAACCAGCAGATGGAAGATGTTCTTCTGTCACTCCTCTTTGTAAATCTGATATGCCTTTCCGATGAAAATAAACTTATTTTTTTTAAAAAGATTTATTTATTTTTATTGGAAAAGCAGATACACAGAGGAGGAGAGACAGAGAGGAAGATCTTCTGACCGATGATTCACTCCCCAAGTGACTGCAACAGCTGGAACTGAGCCAATCCGAAGCCAGGAGCCAGGAACAACTTCTGGGACTCCCACGTGGTGCAGGGTCCCAAGCCCTAGGCCATCCTCGACTGCTTCCCCAGGCCACAAGCAGGGAGCTGGATGGGAAATGGAGCAGCTGGGACATGAAGCAGTGTCCTTGTGGGATGCTGCCACTGCAGGTGGCTGGTTAGCCTGTTGAACCATGGCACCAGTGCCCACAGGCTTCATTTAAAAATAAATTAATATACCAACTGCAATAAATAAAATCTAACTGTAGATTTGTGGGTGAAAGAGCTTAGAAACCTGCCCCAAGCAGAAGACTCTGCTAACCAGAAGTACCATGACCAAGAGCAAAAGAAGAGACAAAGGCACGATGAATATTGCTGAAGACTCCCCTGCAAAGGAGCACAAGCCTTTGCCAACCCCAGAGTTAACTGAGGAAGACATCAAGAAGATGGGGGACACAGAATTCAAAACCCTTGTTATAAAGCTTCTTATCAACAACGAGAAGTACATAAAGCAGGAGTTCAAGGAATTCAAGGAATCTGTCACACAGCAAATAACAGCAGTGAATCCAATGAAAGCTGATGTGTCAGAAATGAAGAATACGGTGAGGCAAACTAAAAGTCCAGTGGAGAGTCTCCAACACAGAATGAAGGAGGCAGAAGAAAGAATTAAAATTACGGGCCCAGCATGGCAGCTCAACGGCTAAATCCCTCACCTTGTACATGCCAGGATCCCATATGGGTACAGGTTCTAGTCCCGGTGGCCCCACTTCCCATCCAGCTCCCTGCCTGTGGCCTGGGAGAGCAGTCGAGGACGGCCAAAGCCTTGGGACCCTGTACCACGTGGGAGACCTGGGAGAGGCTCCTGGCTCCTGGCTTTAGATCGGCACAGTTATGGCCGTGGCGGTCACTTTGGGTAGTGAATCAACAGGCGGAAGATCTTCTCTGTCCCTCCTTCTCTCTATATATCTGACTTTCCAATAAAAAAAAATAAATCTTATAAAATTAGGAGATATTTCCTGTCACCAGGGGGAAACAAACCAAAAGCTGGAAGCAGAGCTGGATCAAGCTAAAAAAAAGAAAAAAAAAATTCAAGAACTGAGAGTATTGGGAGTCCCAGAAGGTACAGAAAGAGAAGCTGCGTTAAAAAATGTATTTGAACAAATAATAAGGGAAAATTTCCCTATCTAGAGAAAGAATTGGGAAACAACATCCAGGAGGGGCACAGAACTCCCGACAGGCTTGACCAAAAGCGATCTTCACCACGACATATAATAATCAAGCTCTCTTCAATTGAACATAAGGAAAAGATCCTTAAATGTGCACATGAAAAAAAATCAACTGACATACAAAGGAATGCCAATTAAACTCACAGGAGACCTCTCACAGGGAATTCTACAGGCCAGAAGAGAATGGAGCGACATTTTCCAGGTTCTAAAAGCAAAAAATTGTCGGCCCAGGATAACATACCCAGCAAAGCTTTCCTTTGTCTTTGAAAATGAAATAAAATGCTTGCACAGTAAAGAAAAGTTAAAAGAATATGCCTCTTCCAAATCTGCCCTATTAATAATACTTACAGATGTTCTCTTGACAGAGAAGAGGAATAGCACCTACCAAAACCACAGGCAAATGTGAAGAACATCCCAGTGAAATGACAACAGAAGGCTAAACCAATGAACAACCCATTCCTAAAATGACAGGACTAAATTACCACCCATTCATATTAACCCTGAATGTCAATGGCTTAAACTCATGAATCAAACAGCACAGATTAGTAGACTGGATTAAAAAAACAAAACGCATCTATTTGTTGTCTAGGGGAGACAGGTCTCACTAACAAAGACCAGTGGAAACTGTATCTCAGGGGCTTTCATTTTTGTGTGTTAGTTTCATATCTTCAAAACACTGTCTTCTGATTAAACTCACATCCCACAGTAGTATCACTTTCTGTAAGACGATTCTTGATTTTCATTCCTCAACGACACAGTAGTCATTCAGTAGCATGTTATTTAACTTCCTGATGTTGGTTTTGTTTTGTGGCTTTTCATTGAAGGGGATGTATAGTAACTGTGTCATGGAGACTATCCTATCCAGATGTGAGGGTGCAATGCAGTATGCATCTCCACTTCCAGACCAAGATGGACTCCCGATGAAACTGTTTACTGTATATTGACAATAGGATGCTGAACTCTGCCACTGTCCATGCCCGCAATGATGGACATATGACTGTGCATGAAGAACTACAATATAGTAATATGGGGGAACTCAGTGAGGGGTGAGGGAACTGGGGAGGGGGTGTGGGAAATTCCAGCCCCTATGGAACTGTATCATTAATGATAATAATAATAATAATAATAGTAAAAAATTCATGGAGACAGCTCTCAGCACCAGCCCGGCCCACCCCAGTGCGGCTCCATGGCCCCAGTAAGCTCCAGCTGCTCCACCTGCCACGCAGCTCCCTGCTTGGGGCCTGGGAGAGCACGGAAGACAGACCAAGTGCTTGGGCCCCTGCACCCACAGGGCTGACCTGGAGGAGGCTGGCGCTCAGACCTGTCCAGCTCTAGCCACGGTGGCCCTCTGAGGGCTGAGCTAGCACGTGGCAGATTTCTCTGTAACTCTGCCTTTGCAATAAATAAATCAATATTGAAAATAAAGAAATCAATCCTGAAATTAAATAAATAAATGATCGGCCACAGACCTGTTCCCTCGGAGCCAAGTGATTCTGCAAACTGAGATTTTTTTTTTCTGAAGCTGCTTCTGTTAAAAAAAAAAAAAAAGTGACTCAGTCAGGGGCAGAGCCTGAGGCTGGAGTCCGCCCACGTGCCAGCCGAAGTTGGGAGCGCGGGACGCAGCGGGAGCCGGGCGCCTGCGCTGCCTGGAGGCGGAAGGAAGCGCCGGGGCGCGCGCCCTGGGATCCCGGTCCAGCGGCGCTCTCGCCGGGCGCCATGGCCGATGCGCTTTGGCGCCTGTTGCTCCTCCAAGTTCTGGTGAGTCTCCCCGGCTCCTTGGGGGATCGGGGCCGCCGGCTGAGGCCCCCGGAGGCGATGGGGTGCGGTCAGCGAGGCCCGGAGGACTTGGGGCGCGGGTCTGGGACGGGCGGGGAGCCGGTGGGGGTGCGGCCAGCCAGGACCTGGGGACTTAGCGGGTTGGGGAGGCAATGGGGCGACCAGAAGCGGGACGGGGAGGCGGTGGGGCTGGGGGTGCGGTCGGGGGGGGTGCGGTCAGCGAGGCCCGAGGCCCGGAGGACTTGGGGCGCAGGTCCCCGTGGGGCGGAAGGCAGTGGGGGGTGCGGCCAGCCAGGACCTGGGGACTTAGCGGGTTGAGGCGGTAATGGGGCGACCAGAAGCGGGACGGGGAGGCGGTGCAGTCAGGTGGGAGTGCGGTCAGCGAGGCCCGAGGCCCGGAGGACTTGGGGCGCAGGTCTCCGCGGGGCGGAAGGCAGTGGGGGTGCGGCCAGCCAGGACCTGGGGACTTAGGGTGCGGGTTTCCACGGGTTGGGGAGGCAATGGGGCGACCAGAAGCGGGACGGAGAGGCGGTGGGGGTGCGGTCGGGGGGGTGCGGTCAGCGAGGCCCGAGGCCAGGAGGACTTGGGGCGCAGGTCTCCGCGGGGTGGCGAGCCGGTGGGGGTGCGGCCAGCCAGGACCTGGGGACTTGGGGCGCAGGACTCCGCGGGGCTGAGCGGCAGTGGGGGGCGTTCAGGAAGGTGTGGGAATACTTGGGGCGCGGGTCTGGGCGGGCGGGGAGGCGGTGAGGACCCCAGGACTTGGGGCACGGGTGGGCCGAGGTGGGGCGGCGAGGTCCACGGAGCCCGATGCGGGTCTAGGGTCCCCGGCAGCCTTGGGGAGCAGAGGGGAAGGGGGAGTTGGGCAAGCCCGGGCAAGTTTGTGAATCACACATAAAATGTTCTAAAATCCGGGTGGGTGTTGAAAAAACGTTCTGTAAAATTGTTGCAAGTTGTGGAAATGTTTTCGGCCTTTTGTAGGAAGTTAGATTCCTGGGGCTGCTGCAGGCAGGCAGACATGGACCCACGTGGGTTTACTTGTTGTAGGTTTCAGAAACCCAAAGTGAAACCAGCCCCTGGGTGCTGTGGTGTAGCGTTGCCTGGCCTGCTGCGTCCCCGCTGCTCCTGGAGACTGGGGGAGCAGCTGAGGGCAGACCAAGTCAGGGTCAGCCCCGGGCAGGGTCAGGGGTGCTCAGAGACACTCCTGGCTTCTGGCTGGGGACCCGCTCGGCTCCCCTCACCCTGCTGCTGGAGGCATCTGGGGAGTGACCCTTCCAATAAAATGAAAACAAATTCAAAGTGTAGGAAAAAAAGAATGTGAAAGCACACATAAGATGGGCCAGAGCAGAGCTCTGCTGTGCACCCAAGGGTGGGCTCCTGGGCCATAATGTCCAGGACAGTGAGCTGTGGGGCACTCCCCTGCCAGGAGGCAGCTCAGCTTGACGAATGGACAGGGCACAGGTGCGGGAGCCACTGTCCTCTCAGACACAGCACCGGGGGCTTCCCACCGTCAGAGAAGAGGGTCAGAGTTAAGGCCAGTGGGAGGAGAGGCAGGCCACAAGGGCAGGCACCCGGGCCGGCCGAGGGGACAGGAGGGCCAGGAGGGCAGGCGCCCAGCCGGGCTGAGGGGACAGGAGGGCCAGGAGGGCAGGTGCCCAGCCGGGCTGAGGGGACAGGAGGGCCAGGAGGGCAGGTGCCCAGCCGGGCTGAGGGGACAGGAGGGCCAGGAGGGCAGGTGCCCAGCCGGGCTGAGGGGACAGGAGGGCCAGGAGGGCAGGTGCCCAGCCGGGCTGAGGGGACAGGAGGGCCAGGAGGGCCAGGCCCGCGGGAGGGCAGGCAGCCATCCTGAGTTCTTTGTTTCTCGTGAACATTGGGTTGCCACTGGCTGAGCAAGCCCCGAGCCCTCACCATCTCTTGGGCGGGAGTGTCGTGTGCCTCTGACCCAGCGTTCTCACTCAGTGTCAAGTGGCCATCCCTGGACATGTTGGTGAAGCGAGAATTAGAGGAGTCGCAGCGGAAACAAACGGGGGGAGCTCAGTTTTGTTTCTGAAAAGGATCCTCTTCTTGGACTGAGAGCTGAGGCTGCAGGGGGCACTCTGCAGGTGACCCGGCAGGCACTGCCAGTTGTGGATGGCCAAAGCAGTGCTGTACTTAGTACAGGCACATGGTCGGTCCTCTCAGAGGTGCTGTACTTAGTACACATGTGTGGTAGTGCTGTACTTAGTACATGCATGTGGTTGGTCCTTTCAGAGGTGCTGTACTTAGTACACATGCATGATCAGTCCTCACGGTGGTGCTGTGCTTAGTACACTCATGGTCGATCCTCACAGTGCTGTTGTACTTAGTACATGCATGTGGTGGTGCTGTGCTTAGTACACACACATGGTCAGTCCTCACAGTGGTGCTGTACTTAGTACACGTGTGGTAGTGCTGTACTTAGTACATGCATGTGGTTAGTCCTTTCAGAGGTGCTGTACTTAGTACACATGCATGATCAGTCCTCACGGTGGTGCTGTGCTTAGTACACATGTGGTCGGTCCTCTCAGAGGTGCTGTGCTTAGTACACGTGTGTGGTGGTGCTGTACTTAGTAAACGTGTGTGGTGCTGCTGTACTTAGTACACACATGGTCCTCACAGCGGTGCTGTGCTTAGTACACATGTGGTCAGTCCTCACAGCGGTGCTGTACTTAGTACACGTGCATGATCGGTCCTCACAGTGGTGCTGTACTTAATATATGCATGTGGTGGTGCTGTACTTAGTACACATGTGGTCGGTCCTCACAGTGGTGCTGTATTTAATATATGCGTGGGTGGTGCTGTACTTAGTAAATGCGTGCAGTGGTGCTGTACTTAGTACATGCATGTGGTTAGTCCTTTCAGAGGTGCTGTACTTAGTACACATGCATGATCAGTCCTCACGGTGGTGCTGTGCTTAGTACACATGTGGTCGGTCCTCTCAGAGGTGCTGTGCTTAGTACATGTGTGTGGTGCTGCTGTACTTAGTACACTCATGGTTGATCCTCACAGTGGTGCTGTACTTAGTACACACGTGTGGTGGTGCTATGCTTAGTACACATGTGGTCGGTCCTCACAGTGGTGCTGTACTTAGTACACGTGCATGATCTGTCCTCACAGTGGTGCTGTACTTAATATATGCGTGTGGTGGTGCTGTAGTTAGTAAATGCGTGTGGTGGTGCTGTGCTTAGTACACATGTGGTGGGTCCTCTCAGAGGTGCTGTAGTTAGTAAATGAGTGTGGTGGTGCTGTGCTTAGTACACATGTGGTCGGTCCTCACAGTGGTGCTGTACTTAGTACACGTGCATGATCTGTCCTCACAATGGTGCTGTACTTAATATATGCGTGTGGTGGTGCTGTAGTTAGTAAATGAGTGTGGTGGTGCTGTACTTAGTACACATGTGGTTGGTCCTCTCAGAGGTGCTGTGCTTAGTACACGCGTGTGGTGGTGCTGTGCTTAGTACGCGCGTGTGGTGGTGCTGTGCTTAGTACACGTGGTCAGTTCTCGTGGACCTGCCCTTCCAGTCAGGCAGGCAGTGAGATCCTAGTGGGGGTTGGTGCTGCTGAGCACTGTGCACACCGTGTGTTCCCTCAGCCGTGCCAAGCAGTGCGCAGTGCTCACCAAGCCCGCAGGCCGTGCCGTGGGCCGGGTCCCCTGGATCCACAGGGTCTGGCCTGCAGGCTGCAGCCCGGGCCTTGCTGGACAGGGAGGGGCCCGCTGGGCAGGTGTGCGGAAGCCGGCGGAGCAGCCGTGCGCGCCCGCTCGCCCGCGCTGAGCCTCCTGGGCTCCGGCACCTGGGGGACCTGACTCCCCTTTCTGACTGAAGGTGGCTGTGGCGAGTGGCATGCCCTCCTGTAACAAGGACGAATATGCGAGTGGCAACCTCTGCTGCCGGAACTGCCCTGCAGGTGAGTCCATGGCGCGGCCAGGCGGGCTGCGGGCCCTTGGCCAGCTGGGGTCACCCTGGGAAGGCATCGCGCCTGAGGCGGCCTGCGTGGGCCTCGCCCGCAGCCCCTGCGCACCCCGCGTGAACCCTAGGAAGCACGCTTCCGCCAGCCCCTGCTCTGTGGCGCAGCGTGTGGCCCGCGAGGGCAGGAGAGAGGAGCCCGGACCCCGGGGGACCCCGAGTCAGGAGGGGGCTTGACGTGACTGCCTTGTAGGCGCTTTGAAATTGGGGTTCCCCCACGCGGGTGCAGGTTCCCAAATTGGGGTTCAACCTCAAGAGTGGGTGAGGGCTTTGCATTCCTGATGGCCAGTCACCCTGTCAGCAGGTGCCTCCCCGGGGAGCTCAGAGGCCAGGGCCTGCACAGCTCGCTGCCCACACACGTGCACACTCACCTGTACACACCTGTATGCACTCACCCACCTGTTCACACCTGCACAAAGCTGTAGACATGCACTCAGCACCTTACTGTGGAAACTGTCTTCACAGATGTGTGTAATACAACAGGTTTATGTATGTGAAAGAATTAAGGGGGGAGAGGGCCCAGCCTGGTAGCCTAGCGGCTAAAGTCCTCGCCTTGAACGCGCCAGCATCCCATATGTGCGCCAGTTCTAATCCCGGAAGCTCCACTTCCCATCCAGCTCCCTGCTGGCCTGGGAAAGCAGTCAAGGACGGCCCAAAGCCTTGGGACCCTGCACCCACATGGGAGACCCGGAAGAGGTTCCTGTCTCCTGGCTTCGGATTGGCTCAGCTCCAGCCATTGAGGCCACTTGGGGAGTGAATCATCGGACAGAAGATCTTCCTCTCCGTCTCTCCTCTTCTCTGTGTATTTGACTTTCCAATGAAGATAAATAAATCTTAAAAAAAAAAAAAAAAGCAAAGGCAGAGAGAGAGTGAAGTGGGCCTGGGGAAGGTGGAGTCGGGGGCTGGTGGCGCGTCTCCCACGTGCAGGGAGCGCCAAACACTTAGGCTGTTGGCACGGAGCTGGATCAGAGCTGCAAAGCTGGGACTTGAACTGGTGCCCATTCGGGAGGCCAGGACAGCACCACACACAAGTGTTTGCTTGAATGCACAACCCATTCACACGGGCTATACCTGTCGCCAATCACTCCATCCCCCAGCGAACACAGGCTCTCCCAGGCTATGGATGCAGCCATGCCCCCAGGGGAGCAAAGACACACGTGTGCCCGTGACGCCTGCACACGCATTACCCGTGACATCTGTGCACGCACATGTACCATGACCCCCTTGCACACACATGTACTGTGACACCTGTGTACATGTGTCACACACGTGCACCCATGAAATCCATGTATCCGTGACACACATGCACACACATGTACCCATGAAGGAATGTTCAGAGGTCACACATGTGAATGACACATTGCTTTGGTCCCACATGTTGACGATCCGACACTGGTTGTCTCAGTGCACACCTGGCCGATGGTTCCCCGGGGCACAGTCTGCCCGGACCCAGGCCTTGCGACTCACGGGTTGGGATGCGAGAACTGCCCTGTGGGGCCTGCGTCTGGGTTCCCTCCGGCCCTGGGTGGGTCGTTGGTGCCCTGAGCAGGTGGCTACTGGACCAGCTGTTTTTGCCCTAGGACATGAAGCACTCTGGACACACACTGGCCACTGTCCCATGCCATTGGGGGGCAGCCCAGCTCACCACCACCCTTTGTCATGCAGGCTCCTTTGTCCTCCGTGCGTGTGAGAAGAACCACACCCAAGGCCAGTGTGAGCGGTGCCCACCAGGAACACACATGACCCACTCTGGTGGGCTGTTTGCCTGCTTGCCGTGTCAGACATGCCGCGAAGGTAAGTGCGCGCTGGCCAGCGTGCAGGGACGACGACTGCGTGCTTGGAGAAAGCGAGGGCTCTTCCACCCACTGCCCAGCTGCCGCAGCACAGGCAGGAGCTGCCCCTGACCTCCCACACAGCTGGGGGAGCCTGGGACTCGAGCTGTCGTCAGCTGCTCCCAGCTGTGCTGGAACGAAGGAGCTGGTATGGGGCGCGAGCATGGTGGGCGACATCCTGTCCGTTCGCAACAGCTCTGGCCCCAGCAGGGGGTCTCACGCCAAGGCGACCTCTTCCGGGTCTCCCGCGTGGGCACAGCGTCCTGCCACCCTCTGCTGTCTTCCCCGGCCTGCTGCTGCTCGCGCTGGTTTAAGCCTGGCACACTACGCCAGCCTGGGAGCACCTGTGAGCGGCAGAGCTCTGGATGCTGGGGGGCGGGTACCTGCACCCCGGTCTGATGTGGAGTGCAGCTTGCTGCCTGCTGACGGGCACCCCAGGAGGCTGCAGCGATGGCTCCAGGGCTCAGGTTTGTCCTCCCAGGACGGAGAGTGAGGTCAGGTGCCAGGCCCAGCCCCAGCTGCTGTGGGCATTTGGGGAGCGGACCAGCGGATGGAAGCTCTCTGTTCCTCTGCCCTTTATAGAAATGAAAGCAACTGTCCCTGCCAAGTGTCCCTGGGCACCTGAGCAGCAGGGGAGGGCAGGGGTCATGGGGCGGATTGGCAACAGCTTTCTAGAATGGGGTGGAGCTTGGGATAGGCATGGCCAGCCCAGTAGGGTAGTCTCTTTTCCATGCAGAAGGGGCCATACCAGTGGGCAGCAAGCTGGCACGGCTGGGCAGGGTTACTGGCCTGTGGGCGCTCTGCAGGCAGCCCAGGCTGGACAGGGTGGGGCGGCAGGGCAGGGCCGAGCTGGCCAGGGCTGGACGGGGTGGCAGGGCAGAGCGGGGCAGGACTGGACGAGGTGTGAGTAGCAGGCTTCTGCAGAGCTCCGGCTAGGGCTTCTCCTGAGGCTCCTGAGTGCTGCTCTGTTAGCCTCTCCACCAACGCCCCTGCTTGTCGCCTCTTCCTGGTCTCTGTAGCCGACCCCGTCCTGGGGCCGGGAGCAGGCCATGGCAGAGCACCCCATGCCCAGTGTCTGACCCGCAGCCTTCTCTCGTCGCAGACCAGGAAATGGTGAGAGATTGCTCTCCGACTGTCAACCGGCAGTGCCAGTGCAAGAAGGACTCCTACGCCTCGCCAGATGAACCCGAGAACTGCCTCCACTGCAGCAGGTGCCCGCGGGGCTGGGCCGGGGGGGCGTCAGCCAGGTGCCATTCATTCTTTCACTCATTCATTCTTTTTTTTCTTATTGGGAAGTCAGATATACAGAGAGGAGAGACAGTCACTCATTCTTGCAACATGTGAGCCCTGAGCTTGGCCAAGGCCTGCAGGCCTGGGGCCCATCAGGCAGGTTGCCACGGTGGGAGGCCAGCTGGTGGCCCATGCATAGCAGTGGGCACTCAGGAAGCCCGCCCGGGGACCCCTGGAGCAGAGGCAGCTGTGGGAGAGCGCTGGGCAGAGAAAGGCAGTGCAGGGCTAGGGGGAAGGGCCACTGTCCCCGCACGCCCCTGGCGGTCAGCCGGACCCTGTTCACGATCTAGGCACGGAAGCCAGGCACACCCCTCCGGAGGCCCTGGGGGCACTTCTGCACCTCATAGCTACTGCAACAGCGGTGCGCCTTGGCACCTCAGCTCTCAGTTCCAGCCTCCTCCGTCCTCAGCTGTCTCCTGTCCTCTCCACCTCCGTCCTCAGCGGCCTCTCTCCTCTCCACCTCCGTCCTCAGCGGCCTCTCTCCTCTCCTCCTGTCCTCTCCTCTCAGCGGCCTGTCCTCTCTGCGCAGGGAACAGCAGGGAGCAGGTTAGTACCCCAGCCCAGCCCACCCTGATGGTCCCACAGAAGCACCCAGGCAAAGGCTGCCCAGCTGGGGCACACCTCAGGCGCTGGCTGGGCAGGAATGGGGCATCCAGAGGGAGGTTTTGTCTTTCACTGACTGATTTCTGTGGGAGACAGAGACACACCAAGGAAGGGGGCTTTGCCATTGGCTGTTTCCTCCCAAGCGGCTGCAGCGGCCAGGCTGAGGCGCCTGGGTCTGCCCTGGGCACGGCGGAGCTCAGCTGCTCTCCCAGGCGCAGCAGCGCGGAGCTGGGGCAGGTGGAGGAGCCGCACTCATGGGCCCAAACGCAACAGCCCAATGGCTAAATCCTCGCCTTGCACACACCGGCATCCGGCTGCTTTGTGTCCTGGCTGCCTGCTTCTCATCCAGCTCTGTGCTTGTGGCCTGGGGAAGCAGTCGAGGACGGCCCAAAGCCTTGGGACCCTGCACCTGTGTGGGGGACCCAGAGGCGGCTCCTGGCTCCTGGCTCCTGGCTTTGGCCCAGCTCTGGCTGTTGCAGCCACTTGGGGAGTGAACCAGCAGATGGAAGATCTTTGTCTTTGTCTCTCCTCTCTGTAAATCTGCCTTTCCAATAAAAGTAAATAAATCTTTTAAGCAAATGTTCTCAAATGGGATATCCGTGCCCACGTGTGGTGTCAGCACTTCAGGCAGTGAGCGCCTTGAGCTGCTGAGCCACAGTGCAGGCCCTGATGGAAGCCGTGGCTGCGGTCAAGCCCAGGAAAGGTAGCCGTGTGTGGGAGGGCTGGCGTAGCTGCTGCAGGCCCTGCCAGCCTGCAGGCACACATCACGGCAGGCTTAGAGGGAGAGGCCTTTAAGCCTGATGGGCTCCGAGGGAGTGACCGCTGGGCCTGTTGCGGCCAGCATTCTGGACTCGGTGGCATCTGCCTCCCTCTGTGGCTTTGCCCCGCAAGATGCGGCCTCAGGGCATGCAGGAGGTACAGCAGACCCATTCCCATCTCCAGGGCGGGCAGGGGAGTGATGCCGGTGTGCCCTCAGCGTACTGACATGGGGCGCAGCAGGGCGGGCAGGGGAGTGATGCCGGTGTGCCCTCAGCGTGCTGACATGGGGCACAGCAGGGCGGGCAGGGGAGTGATGCCGGTGTGCCCTCAGCGTACTGACATGGGGCGCAGCAGGGCGGGCAGGGGAGTGATGCCGGTGTGCCCTCAGCGTACTGACATGGGGCACAGCAGGGCGGGCAGGGGAGTGATGCCGGTGTGCCCTCAGCGTGCTGACATGGGGCACAGCAGGGCGGGCAGGGGAGTGATGCTGATGTGCCCTCAGGTGTAAGAACAACCAGGTGCTCCAAGAATGCACGCCCACCAACGATACCAAGTGTGCCAACGACACCCAAGATCCGGCCAGTTCGGAGGTGAATAAAGGTACTTGGAGCCGCTTAGAGAGGGGCACGGGAGGGAGGCTGTTGGTCCAGCAAAGGGCTTTACTGTCCAGAAAGGTTAACGGCTGCTCCCTCGCGGGAGGCGTGGTCCGTGAGCACGTGCGCAGCACTGGGGGGTTACACACTGCAGGTGCAGGGCTTGGGGTGCATGAGGCTGCAGCTCCCCGCTTGGTTGGTGTGTGTTGGCATGCCGAGTGATGGTACCCTCACCCTGCTCAGTGTCAGCCTCCAGATGCAGAGAGGTCAGAGTGTTTGGTGTTCTGGATGCTCCAGGGCGGGAGTCGGCTCTGGGCAAGGCAGCGTCTGGCCAGCTGTCCACTTGGGCACTCCTCATGGAGTCACTTCTGCTCAGACGGACGCTCGGCTGCTTCCCCAGGCCGGGAGCAGGGAACTGGATTGAAAGTGGAGCAGCCGGGACACGAAGCAATGGCCTCGAGGGATGCCAGCTTTGCAGGTGGACACTGCCCTCCACACCACAGCGCTGGGCCAGGCCACTACACCCCGATGGTGCTGTGGCTGGGAGGGGATGTGCTGAGCTACAGATCCTGGGGACCCCCTCTCATGGGACCCCTGCTCTGCACCCTCTTGAGGACCTGAGCCTGGGGCTGTGCTAACGGGCACCTGCTGAAGTGGCACGGTGATGTGGATGGCCGTTCTGGGCTCAGCCTCATGGTGCCTCTGTGCCTCCTGCAGGATCACAATGGTGGATCTCCATGCTGGGCGTGCTGGGCGTGCTGATTGTGCTGGGCGTGTTTGTGGCCCTGGCTTTCTGCTTAAAAAGAGGTAAGCTTGGCTGCCTCAGGGCTGGGTGGGGTGGGGTGGAGTGCAGGAAGGGGCAGCGGTGCAGCAGTCTGCCCCTGTTTCGGGGTCCCCGTGGTGGCATGCGGAGGGGTGCTGAGGCGATGGTGGTTCCCACTGGGCTGACTTGCCCACCTCTGTGTTCCCCCAGGTGGCCTCGGGAACTTGACTGAGTTGCTCAAAAGTATGTAGGTTGTCTTTGTTAGGGTTCAGGGTGCTGCTGCCCCCCCAGAAGTCATGGTCATGTGCTCACTCTGTTTCTTTATTTTCAGGAAAATCACAAGACCCCAGAAGCTCCGTGAGTGCCAGCTGGGTTTGGGCATGCCCCTGCGAGGTGACCCCAGCGGGCTGGGATTCTGGCCTGGAGCTTAGGGTCCAGAAGCTCCCACGGGTGGACAAGGGCAGCCACAGGCCTTGTCTCCCACAGGCATGGACACAGCACCTGGATCCCCAGCTGCCTGTATGAAGGACAGCCCCAGAGGGCCAGGTGCAGGGCGGCAGGTGGCTCTCACAGTGGGCAACCAGGGGACCTTCTGTGCCTGCTGGCAGCCTCGTTCTCCTGTGGCTGGCGGCCCCATCGGCACAGGCTCAGCCGTATCTTCTTGGCTTCCTCTGAATCTCCCTAATAAAGCTCCAGTCACTGGGATTGGGCCCCACCCTAGTGTGTGCAGGGGTCAGCATGGGACATGCCCCTGGGGCTGTGGAGCACCCCCTGGCTGTCCCAGGACTGGGAGAAATGACAGTGCATCAGGCCCTGCCCAGCTAACCTCAGGAACAGGGCACAGATAGGGTTGGCAGGGTGTGGGCAGGGCCAGCAGGGTGCAGGCCAGGCCAGGCAGGACTAGGCTGGACACAGGCAGGGCTAGCAGGGTGTGGACAAAGCCAGACAAGTCTGGACAGGGCCAGGCAAGGCTGAGCAGGGCTGACAGGGTGTGGGCCAGGCAAGGCTGAGCAGGGCTGGCAGGGTGTGGGCCAGGCCAGGCAGGGCTGGCAGGGTGTGGGCCAGGCAAGGCTGAGCAGGGCCAGACAGAGTGTGGGCAAAGCCAGACAAGGCTGGACAGGGCCAGGCAAGGCTGAGCAGGGCTGGCAGGGTGTGGCCAGGCCAGGCAAGGCTGGACAGGGCCAGGCAAGGCTGAGCAGGGCTGGCAGGGTGTGGGCCAGGCAAGGCTGAGCAGGGCTGGCAGGGTGTGGGCCAGGCCAGGCAGGGCTAGCAGGGTGTGGGCCAAGCCAGACAAGGCTGGACAGGGCCAGGCAAGGCTGAGCAGGGCTGGCAGGGTGTGGGCCAGGCAAGGCTGAGCAGGGCTGGCAGGATGTGGGCCAGGCAAGGCTGAGCAGGGCCAGACAGGGTGTGGGCCAAGCCAGACAAGGCTGGACAGGGCCAGGCAAAGCTGAGCAGGGCTGACAGGATGTGGGCAAAGCCAGACAAGGCTGGCAGGGTGTGGGCCAGGCAAGGCTGAGCAGGGCTGGCAGGGTGTGGGCAGAACCAGGCAAGGCCCACTGTGTGCAGGCAGGGCTGGCAGGGTGTGGGCCAGGCAAGGCCCACTGTGTGCAGGTAGGGCTGGCAGGGTGTGGGCAGTGCATGGGCAGGTCCAGACAAGGTAGGGCCAAGCAGAGCTAGGCAGGGCGAGGGCACAGCCTGGGTAGGGCCAGGCAGGGTGCAAGCAGGGTGTGGGCAGGGCTAGGCAGGGCAGGAGCAGGAGGTGGGCAGGGCACAGGCATGGACTGGGCCGTCCCCTGGGAACTCATGGGCGATTTCTCCTTCTAGGTGTCCAGTGGCCTGGAGTCCAGCGAGGCACTGCTGTCCGTGAAGACGGAGGGCCACGAGCCAGTCCTGGGAGTGGACCAAGTGTCGATGGAGGAGTCCTTGACCTTGACACCGGCTGCCGTGGCCCGTCCTGGGTCTGCCGACTCTGAGACCAGCCCTGTGCCCCAGACCATGTCACTTGAGCAGGCCCCTCAGCCCCAGGCTGCTCTCGGGGAATGCGTGGACCAGAGCAGGACAGCAGCCTCCTTGGAGCAGCTGGAGCAGGCAAGGAGACAGGGAGGGGGCTGCTAAGGGTCCTGGTGACATGGAGGTGGCTGCTGAGGGCCCCGGGGACATGGAGGTGGCTGCTGAGGGTCCCGGGGACATGGAGGTGGCTGCTGAGGACCCCGGGGATGCAAGGTGGCGTGCTGAGGGCCCCGGGGACATGGAGGTGGCTGCTGAGGGCCCCGGGGACATGGAGGTGGCTGCTGAGGACCCCGGGGACATGGAGGTGGCTGCTGAGGGTCCCGGGGACATGGAGGTGGCTGCTGAGGACCCCGGGGATGCAAGGTGGCATGCTGAGGGCTCCGTGGACACCGAGGTGGCGTGCTGAGGGCCCCGGGGACATGGAGGTGGCGTGCTGAGGGTCCTGGGGACATGGAGGTGGCGTGCTGAGGGCCCCGGGGACATGGAGGTGGCTGCTGAGGGCCCCGTGGACACCGAGGTGGCGTGCTGAGGGCCCCGGGGACATGGAGGTGATGTGCTGAGGACCCCGGGGATGCAAGGTGGCGTGCTGAGGGCTCCGTGGACACCGAGGTGGCGTGCTGAGGGCCCTGGGGACATGGAGGTGGCTGCTGAGGGCCCCGTGGACACCGAGGTGGCGTGCTGAGAGCCCTGGGGACATGGAGGCGTGCTGAGGGCCCTGGGGATATGGAGGTGGCGTGCTGAGGGCCCCGGGGACATGGAGGTGGCTGCTGAGGGCCCCATGGACACCAAGGTGGCTGCTGAGGGCCCCGGGGATGCGGAGGGGGCTGCTGAGGGTCCTGGGGACATGGAGGTGGCTGCTGAGGGTCCTGGGGATGCGGAGGTGGCTGCTGAGGGCTCCGTGGACACCGAGGTGGCGTGCTGAGGGTCCTGGGGACATGGAGGTGGCGTGCTGAGGGTCCTGGGGACATGGAGGTGGCGTGCTGAGGGCCCCGGGGACATGGAGGTGGCTGCTGAGGGTCCCGGGGACATGGAGGTGGCTGCTGAGGGTCCTGGGGACATGGAGGTGGCTGCTGAGGGTCCTGGGGACATGGAGGTGGCGTGCTGAGGGCCCCGTGGACACCGAGGTGGCTGCTGAGGGTCCTGGGGACATGGAGGTGGCTGCTGAGGGTCCTGGGGACATGGAGGTGGCTGCTGAGGGTCCTGGGGACATGGAGGTGGCTGCTGAGGGTCCTGGGGACATGGAGGTGGCTGCTGAGGGCCCCGGGGACATGGAGGGGGCTGCTGAGGGTCCTGGGGCCGTCCTGGCAGGTTGCCAGCCTCTCTGGCTCAGGCAGCCTCATCCCATCTCTGCCTGTGCCCCCCACATGCCCTCCCACTGTGTCCAGGTGCCACTGTGCCCATGTGCCACCATGCCCAGGTGCCAGCGACGGCACTCAGGGACTTCCTGGTCTTGTTATAACCTGATCATCTGCCAAAACCCTGATTTCTCCTGAGATAGAGAATTTTTTTTTTTCAAATAAAGTAAGGGAGTAAATTGCAGGGAGAGGCAGAAAAGTCAGCTAGTTCACTTCCCAGATGGCCACACTGGCCGAGGCCGAGCCACACTGAAGTCGGGAGCACTGTCTGGCTTGCCCCCGTGGGCATGGGGGCCCAGGCCCTCTATCCACCTTCCATTGCCTTCCCGGCACGTCCCCGAGGAGCTGGGACTCCAGCACGTGCTCATACGGGATGCTGGCACCACAGCGGTGTCTTCACTGGCTGTGCGGAAGCACCGAGGTGGGCAGGGCTGTGGCCAGATAGTCCTGGGTGAGGTGACCTCGGTAGGGACAGTTGTCCGGAGCAGTGACCCAGGCCAGGCAGAGGCACAGGCCCCGGGCCCCAGCAGTGTCCTGGAGGGAGTGCCCTGGGCAGACCCAGGCTCCCTTCGTGCCCACAGGACACAGACTGGCACGGGCATCAGGCCCAGAGCAGGTGGACTGGGTACACAGGACACCGGGGTGGAGTTCACAGCTTTGCCTGATGTGGCAGGTGTGGCAGGCACGTGGGCAGTGAGCCACAGATCTTATTCTCACGGGCACTGAAACCACGACTGGGAGACGCGCTGCTCTAGTCCGGCTGCGGGGAATCCCGAGGGCGGGACGCCTCCCCCACGGCGCCTTTACTCTCTTCTCTCCTCAGGAATTTGCCGAGAAATACATCATGAAGCCAGGGCAAGAGAATGGTCAGTACTTGTGGGCAGCAAGGTCAGGGGACCATCTTTGGGCCCCCAATTGTGGTGGTGGGTCGAGGGGCATGGGGCCAACCACGACTGAAGGGACCCAGGCTTACAGTATGTTACCCACGGTTTTGGAGGAAACTGTTCTAGACTGTTCAGAGGGCTCACATATACAAAGACGTGCTGGAGGAGACAGGGAAGGGGGCATGAGGGAGGAGGGGGATGAGGGAGGAGGGGGATGAGGGAGGAGGGAGGAGGGGGCATGAGGGAGGAGGGGGGGATGTTACAAGGGAAGTTAGGAGGCTCTAGAACAAGGACGAGGCAGCCTGCGAGAGCAGGTCAGTGCCAGGTGCCCTGGGCTGCTGCCTCTGGACCTGGCCATGACCCAGTGCAGGTCCTGTGGTATGTGGGCCGTGACCCAGTGCAGGTCCTGTGGTGTGTGGGCCGTGACCCAGTGCAGGTCCTGTGGTGTGTGGGCCATGACCCAGTGCAGGTCCTGTGGTATGTGGGCCGTGACCCAGTGCAGGTCCTGTGGTGTGTGGGCCATGACCCAGTGCAGGTCCTGTGGTGTGTGGGCCATGACCCAGTGCAGGTCCTGTGGTGTGTGGGCCATGACCCAGTGCAGGTCCTGTGGTGTGTGGGCCATGACCCAGTGCAGGTCCTGTGGTGTGTGGGCCATGACCCAGTGCAGGTCCTGTGGTGTGTGGGCCATGACCCAGTGCAGGTCCTGTGGTGTGTGGGCCGTGACCCAGTGCAGGTCCTGTGGTGTGTGTGGGCTGCCACACTGTTGCCTTCTGCCTTACCATTTTTGAGAACATGGGATATATTTTTAAATCTTTTTGTTGTTGTTGCTAGTCTGATTTTACACCATGAGACCTTCCACCTGCTGGCTCACTCCCCCAGTGGCCGCAGTGTCCAGGGCTGAGCTGGTCTGAAGCCAGGAGCCCAGATCCTCTTCGGGGTCTCCCATGGGTGCAGGTCCCAAGGCATTGGGCCACCCTCTACTGCTTTCCCAGGCCACAAGCAGGGAGCTGCACCTGAACGGCTGGGACTCGACCTGGCACCACGTGGCTGCTGCTTACTTGTCTGCAGCAGCAGCCCCCACATTCAAGCGTTTTTTTAAGTTAATGAAATTGAATGAAAGGGAATGTAAGAAAAGGAAGAAAAAAAAAAGTCAGGAGGAAAGTGGCAAGCTGTCCTGGAACTCTGTGTCTGCAGGGGAACAGTGGCAAGGGGCCACGTTTCTCCTATGTTTTCTTTTTCTTTCTCGGAAGAGTGACTGGGTCTACTCTGAAACCAAGGGAGCATTGGGAATGTGGCCGTGTCTGTGCAGAGCAGATGTCCTGGGCCCAGGAGAGGCAAGGCCAGGACAGAGGTCCCTGGGGGATGCCACTACTACGTGGTGGGTGGAAGGATAAACCAGAAATCTGAGGCTACGGACCAGACCCAGGCCCCGAGCCCACACGGGGTGGCCGACCCAAGGCCTCTGGGAGCTGGGGAGCATGGTGCAAGCTGAGTGGCTGGTGACTCCTGGGCGCAGGGTGCCCCTTCCAGAAGGGCTGGCACAGTGACGTGCTCCTTCAGAAAGCAAAAAGCTTTCTAACAAGAGGAGGGGTGTGTGGCTCATAGTTCAAAGTTCAAGTCCAAGAGGACAGCCCTGCAAGTCGGGCCTGAGGGAGGGAGCCAGCACGCAGAGGGGGAGCACCCAGCCCGCCACTGGGTCCTGCAGGAGCCCAGCTGCCATCAGCGTCCACCCCTTTGGAGCTGGGGTGTCCCTGTCTGATTAAGGTGTGAGCGGTGGACAGGGAGCGAAGGGGGCGCAGGGAGCGACGGGTGGAGGGCGCGGGGGGGGGGGGGTGCAGGGAGCGACGGGGGCGCAGGGGGTGCAGGGGTGCAGAGGCAGCCCCCTGGCCGTGAGCTGGCAGGGTCCTGCACAGACCCGCCCCGGGCGAGGTTCTGAACACACCTTCCATTTGTGCTTTTCAGCCAACTTTAAGATCCATAACTGCTTTGAAGAGGAAGTGGACCCGAAAGATTGGAACATGCTGATGCGCTGCATTGGACTGGAGGAAAATGACATTACCACCTGCGAGATGGAGAACTCTGGCAACGTGAGGGAGCAGCACATGAAGATGCTGATCACCTGGCGACAGAGGCTGGGCAGCAAGGCCACGGTGTTCCGCCTCATGGCCGCCCTCTACAGGATGAGGCTGGACATGGCCCTGGAGAACTTCATCAACAAGCTGGTCAACGAGGAGGTCCTGCTGAAGCGCGCCGACCAGCCGGCCACAGCCCCACGCGACGACCCAGGGCCCGAGATGCCGCGGACACCAGTGGACGCTGCCCTCGGACCGCTACGCCCCGCGGCGCTCACCCCACTGCAAGCCGAGTGTTGACATACGTGGACGGGGAGGGGGGGGAGGAACACTGGAGCTGAGCCTCCCACGCAGGTGCAGGGTCCCAAGGCTCTGAGCCGTCCTTTTCTGCTTTTCCAGGACACAAACTGGTGCCCATATGGGATCCTGGGCGTGCGAGGCGAGGACTTTAGACACTAGGCTACTGCGCTGGGCCCAGTTTATTTTATTTTTAATGATGGTTATATATTGAGAGGGATGCACACCCATGTGGACCGCTGATAGGGTGGGCAGGGTCCAGGGATAGGGGAGAGTGGACAAGATAACTGCCTCCAATCTCCTTTCTGCTTCTGGTATCTAAAAAAGAGGAAAAGGGGAAGGGGCTGCTCCCAGCACTCCAACCTCATCAGTGCTCAGGGATGGGGAGATAAGGGGAGGGCTGCTCCCAGCACCCCAACCTCATCAGTACTCAGGGATGGGGAGATAAGCCCCTCAAGTACAGCAGCAGGAACTATAGCCTAGTAGGAGTGACCCCCCCCCAAAACTGCACTAAGCCCACCCCGTACCCTGGTGGCCACCTCCCTTTGCATGGACACCGGACCACCCCGCTGAGACTTCTGTAATGTGTTTAGGCATTGTCTGCCTCTGTGGAGTTGGTCTTTACTACCAACGAGAGCTTGGAAGTGGATGTTGCCGATACCGTTTTAGCCAAAGGGCCTTTTACTATTCATGCTGTCTCTGTCCCCGTCTCTGCTGCTCCCATTGGCCATCCTTGCTCCTTAGTTCCCTCCTCCTGTGACGCACTTCCTCCCTTAACTGATCCAAGACTAAGTTGTGGAATGAGGATTGTAGCAGGAATGTGTTACTGATTGACATATGCCGTCCACTGAGAACTTCCTGACCACAGGGTTAGGACGGCTGATATCCTGCCTCAAGGGGAAACAACTGGCAGGACTATCCTTAGGAATGCCCGCTTGACAGGTGTGAAGTCTGTGCCAGCCGCTGTGACGGCTTCTGTATAAATAAAACAGGCTCCGCGCCACGCCGCTGTGGAGGCCGGGAGGATGGCGGTGCTGTGCATTAAGCGGAAGCGCACCTCGGAGCCCACCGAGGCCCTTGTCCTCGCGTGCAAGCGTCTCCGCGGCGGCGTGGTCGAACCGGCTGCCTCGGAGGGACGGGAAGGTGCAGAGAGCGGCCGAGAAGAATGTCTTCCAGTTGGTGGCCACTGCGCGCTCGCAGGAGCAGCCGGTCCAGCGCATCCATTCGGGAGGTCCACGGAGAAGGCCACTACCGGGTGGTCTGCAGCCACCGAGCCTTGGGGGGCGCCGCCGGCGCAGAGCCCGAGGCCGCACCGGACGCAGGCTTCCAGCTCCTCGACCTGGTCCACGAGGAGGGGGAAGCGAAGGCTGCGGCGGACTCCTGCCGAACATCTGACCAGGATGTGATCCTCTGCAATTCTGTAGAGTTGATCCGGGAGCGACTGACCCTGTCTGAGGCTGGACCGGCAGGTAGGCAGCAGGAGGAACAAAAGCAAGCAGACTACGTGTGTGACATTCACTACCTGCAAACAGCAACACCAGGCTGGACTGAGAACACCCTCTCTGTGCAGCCTACAGCCAGGAGTGTGAGCTGGTGAATGCTGAACAACCAACCAGCAGACATTTACGAAGATGAAGATGATGATAACAGGGAAAATAATTGGTGAAATGAGTACCCAGAGGGGGCGAGCAGTGATGAGGATTCCAGAGGCTCTGACGGATCCAGCTGCAGCGAGGAGCAAAGAGGCAGCAGTGGCCGGCCCATGTGGAACCAGTACCCTCTGGATGTGCAGAAGGAGTCTGGCTATGACGGTCCCCATGACCTGGACTCGGATTGACAGTTTGGTGACATCCCTGAGATTCCGACACAGGCTTGTGGAGGCCCCAGGACGATGGTGTCACCTGTCCTGGTGACATCTTTGGTTTCTTAGCTGCACATGTGGAAGGGAAATAATTGAGCAACACGTTACCATGGTGACTATGCATGCTAAGGAACTGTCTTCCACTGAATAGTAGGGCCCCTTTAAAGGTGATCCTGCAGTCTTAGGCACAAGAGTGAAGGTTCGAGAGGAGAATCAGGATGGCGGAATAGGGTAAGGACACGTTTAAACGGACGGAGAAGCATTTAACCAGAATGAAGCAGAGAGGACATATTTCAGGAAATTCGAAAGGACAGAACAACAGCAGAGGGGTACCTGGAGACTGACAGACACAGGAAGCAGCGGGCACAGCAGTGTGATGTTGCAGTGACTGATACTCCAGCACGGCGATCTGAACTCCACCAGCAGCCGGAACTCCACCAGCAACCAGGTGGGAAGGGACTTTGACTGGGAGCTTGGGAGGTGAACCCAGACGGGGAACTGTCTGTCCTGCTGGTCCGTTTGATTTGACCAGGAGCAGAGACAGAGCAGCAGGTCCCAGGCAGGCAGTGCGAGAACAGCGAGGATTTCATAGCCCAGTCAGCCCCTAGAGCTGAATTGTTCGCCATTTTGCCTAAGGAGGAAAGGGCAAGGGAAAGGACTGAGCATGCTCTGAGAGGGAGTGAGCTCATTTCTGACTTGGTGAACTGCACCGATGTGGCATTCTACGGGTTCCATCCAGGCCACGTCTGGGTAACCCTCGGATCTGACAGCCAGCAGATCAAGAACTGTTGTGGTAGCACATTGGGTGCCATTTTGCGCACTGTGGCAAAAGCTTTGGGACTGCAGGGGACAACAGTGAACTGCACATGTGCTGAGCTCGCGAGAACTCGCTGAGGTCCCGCAGGAAAATAATACTGACTGTGGCATTGTACCGGTCAAAACAGGTCCGTGTGGCACCCAGACCTAGCGCCCAACAAGTTCCAACAAGATTAGTGCCACCAACAACCTAACTAGATAGGACACCTGGTGTCTCTTTAATCCTGGAACCCACTCTGACCAGAAGAGGGAGAAAGGTTGCAGAGACAACAGTGCAGCCTCAGCACGGTATCACAGGAGGTGGAGAGTGGTGAGCCAGGAGCTGGGGCTGTGGAGACCATGGTGGATATCTGACATAAGAAGCCAGACCTGGAACTCGCTGGAGGTTGTGGCACAAGTGGCTGCAAGCAAAAAGTTGTGTGCCAACTGCAATAAATAAAATCGCATTGTAGACCTGTGGGTGACACAGCTTAGAAACCTGTCCAAAGGAGAAGACTCTGCTAACCAGAAGTACAATGATCAAGAGCAAAAGAAGAGACAAAGGCACAATGAATATTACTGAGCACTCCCCTGCAAAGGAGCAAAACCCTATGCCAACCTCAGAGTTAACTGAGGAAGACATTGAGAAAATGGGGGACACAGAATCCATAAGGCTCATTTTAAAGATTCTGGTAAAAAATGAGAAGTTAATGCAAGAGTTCAAAGAATTTAAGGAAACAGTAAAGGAAATCAAGGCTGGTATACCAGAAATTAAGAACACAGTAGAGCAAATTACAAGTACAGTGGAGAGTCTCCAAAATAGAATGAAGCAAGCAGAAGAAAAAAATCTCAGAATTGGCAGATATCTCCTGTCACCAGGGGGAAGCAAACAAAAAGCTGGAAGCAGAGCTGGATCAGGCCAAAAAAAAGTATTCAAGAATTGAAAGACACTATTAAGAGAACAAATATAAGAGTTATGGGAGTCCCAGAAGGTGCAGAAAGAGAAGCTGAGTTTGCAAATGTATTTAATGAAATAATCAAGGAAAATTTCCCTAATCTGGAGAAAGAATTGGGAAACAAGATCCAGGAGGGGCACAGAACTCCCAACAGGCTTGATCAAAAGCGATCTTCACCAAGACATATGATTATCAAGCTCTCTTCAATTGAACATAAGGAAAAGATCCTTAAATGTGCACGTGAAAAACATCAATTGACATATAAAGGAAGGCCAGTTAAGCTCACAGGAGACCTCTCACAGGAAACTCTACAGGCAAGAAGAGAATGGAGTGACATTCCAGATTCGAAAAGAAAAAAATTGTCGGCCTAGGATAACATACCCTGCAAAGCTTTCTTTCATCTTTGAAAATGAAATAAAATTCTTGCACAGTAAAGAAAAGCTAAAAGAATTTGCCTCTTCCAAACCTGCTCTACAAATTATACTTCAAGATGTTCTCTTGACAGAGAAGAATAGCACCTACCAAAACCAAAGGCAAACGGGAAGAACATCCCAGTAAAATAACAACCGAAGACTAAACCAATGAACAACCCATTCCTAAAATTACAGGACCAAAGTACCGCCTATGTATATTAAACTCTGAATGTAAATTGCTTAAGCTCAATCAAACATCATAGATTAGTAGACTGGATTAAGAAACAAAACTCATCTGTTTATTGTCGGGAGGAGACACACTCTAACAAAGATCAGCAGAAACTTTATCACATGGGTTTTGTTGTTTTCTGTTGGTTTCATCTCTTCAAAACACTTTCTCCTGATTAAATCATTCAATGACTCGTAGATCATGCAGTGGCTTCATTTCTTCAAGAAGGTTCTTGATTTTCACTTCTTCAGCTACACGTTAGACATTTAATAGCATGTTGTTTAACTTCTTGGTGTTGTTAATTTATTTTTTCTCCTGGAAGTTGATTTTGTTTTGTGGCTCTTCATTTAAGGGAAGGTATAGTAGTTGTGCAATGGAGGCTGTCATATCTAGTAACATGTCATTTAACTTCATGGCATTGTAAATTTCTATTTTTCTTTCTATTGATTTTGTATCATGACTTTTCATTTAAGGGAATGTACAGTAGTTATGTAATGGAGACTATCAACCAGATGTGAGGATGCAGTGTGGTTGGCATCTCTGTTTCCAGACAAAGATGGTCTTACAGTGAAACTGTTTATATTATATTTTGACAATAGGATTCTGGACTCTCTGCCATTGTCCATGCCCGCAATGATGAACATATGACTGAGTATGAAGAACTATATGTTAGTAATGATATAAAGGAACTGAGGGGGAGGGAATTGGGGAGGGGATAGGGGAATATGGAACTGTATTGTAAAATGATAGCAATAATAATAAAATA